GGTCCTTGCACCACTGTTCAATAATTTTTAGAGCTACTTGCATTCTTTCGCAGAGTATGTTCTCAAAATTCCCTGTTTGCAGAATGACTAGGTCATCTGCATATGCTATTGTGTACTAATTGTCATTATTGAGGCGGCTGATGAGTGTGTCGAGGACCATATTCCACATTAGAGGTGATAGCACCCCTCCCTGTGGACAACCCCTCGCAATCAAACCTCTTATATGCACATCTTTTACACTTATGTTTACTGCTCGCTTTGAGAGCGTGTTATGTATCCACCCACTAACCATTTGTGGAACATTCCTGTTGGTTAGTGAGTGTATTATCTTTGGGAAGGTGGTTTTATCAAAAGCGCCTTCTATGTCTATGAAAACACCCAAGGCAGACTCCTGATTGTCCAGGGATCTTTCTTTCCGGCCAGCAACTAGATGAAGGTCTGAATCAGTAGATCTGCCTGGGGTGTATGTATGTTGGTTTGAATGTAGTAATGTTGTAATCACCGCATCTTTTATGTACCTTTCGCATAGCCTTTCCAATGTCTTAATGGAAAACGATGTCATACTAATTAGTCGGTATGTTTTTAAGACATTGTAATCCATCGTTCCAGGTTTGGGTATAAATACCACTTTTACCTCTCTCCATTTTTGGGGGATATACCTCAATTCAAAGCCAACGAGGATCTGAATATACCCACCAGGTGCGGTGTGAGTTCTTCTAGACCCCACTGAAGTAGAGCTGGATAGATACCGTTAGGTGCTGGTGATTTAAATGGAGAGAAGCTGGATTTTGCCCATCTAGTTTTTTCATCGTCTAAAATGTGTTTGGCAGTTTGCCAATCATAGACAAATGGATTGTATTCTTCCTCTGCCCAGTCCGCCACGTCTGTGATGACCAAGTCAGGAAAGTGTGTTGACAGCAGAAGTTTGATGCCATCTTCGAGGTTGGGAGTTTTCATGCCATCCTTTTTGATTAGCCACCAATGCTTCGGTATGGATCATTTGAAGCCTCGCTGCCTGCGGGAAATCTTCGATTTCTTCGCAGTAGGATCTCCATGCATCTCTCTGTTTTTGTCTGACGATTTTTTTGTATTCTCTGAGGTGAGATTTGTAAGTATCCCAGTCCTCTTTGAGTTTTGTGGTTCTTGCCTTATTAAAAAATGTCCTAGCCATCTTCCGGAGGTGATCCAACTCGTGACACCACCATGCGGTAGTCGTCTGATCGTGTTGGACCAGCCTCAGAGAACAGTATTTCTTATAGGCATTGTTTATTGTGCTTTGGATATTGTTCGTGTACTTTTCCAGTGCAGTACTATTGTTTGGTGTTTCAGCCTCCATCTCTATCAAAGCCTCTTGGAGAAGGTGGGCATAGGTTGCTTTGTCCGTCTTCCTAGGGTTCCGAGATAGCGTGGAGGTCGGCAACATGAATGTTAGCCAGCGGTGGTCTGACATCGAAATGTTATCAGACACTTGCCAGTTTAGAATTGATTTATAGATACCAGATACGAATGGACTTAATTATTAAAAAAAAAGGTATTTTTCATAATTTCTCAATGTGAATCGAATTTATTTAACAAGTAAGAGAAATTATGAAGAGTTACTTTTTTAATTTAAAATATATCTGTGGACACACTGTATAATGCTGTGGAACTAATTCACATTATAACATCTATACAACGTTTCAGAGCAACCTTCGGGGTAAGTACCGTAAAAGTGCTAGTATGATGTTTTCCGAACTTTACTTTGTAACCTCTGTGAGATGTCTATAAAAGTCTTGCTGTTGCGGACATTAGGAGGTTGCAGGGATATTAGGGTTACATTAAAAGTACATTGCATGCGAGCTTAAGGTGATTACAGCACCCCCTCATAATTTTCGGACAAGGATATCTCAAAAAGTGATTTTTTTAAAAAATTAAAATTTTGGCAAAATATATTAGGCAATAATATCTAGAATATGCATATTTTTTAAAGTTTTAATTCCGTCCAGTTTCCGAGAAAAAAAATCAAAGGGCTTTAAATTTTGAAATATCATAATGAAAATAAAAGCATTCCTCAACAGCAGTATTCTTAATATAATCCCCAAATTTAAGCTCTTAATATCTTGTTAATGATTTTTTAAAATTCGCCGAAATTAGTGGCTAAAACGCCTCGTTAAGTGCTGCTTTCTGGTGTAACGCGTCTGTAACTATCGTATCGTACACTCTGAGTCATCATTCGTTTCTTGCAACGATTTACACCAGTTTACACCAGTTTAAACCAGAAAATAGCACTTAACGAGGCATTTTAGCCACTAATTTCGGCGAATTTTAAAAAATCATTAACAAGAGATTAAGAGCTTAACTTTTGGGATTATATTAAGAATACTGCTGTTGAGGAATGCATTTATTTTCATTATGATCTTTTAAAATTTAGAGCCCTTTGATTTTTTTTCTCGGAAACTGAAAAGAATTAAAATATATGCATATTCTAGATATTATTGCCTAATATATTTTGCCAAAATTTTAATTTTTTAAAAAAATCACCTTAAAGAACCTTAAATTGCAGCTTATAAACGTAGATGGGATGTGTTTGTGCTAGCTGGGATTGTATTACCTCTGTATTACCTCTGTGCAATTTTTGATCAGGTTGGCTGGATCGTGTGTTCCGTACTGGTGGGGAATTTAATGTTATTTGGAGACTCTGCCAAAACTGTTTACATCTATGGGAACACTAAACATTCCTAAATGTACCTATCTATTGATCTTTTTAATCTTCCCCGAGTTGGCATGGTAACGGAGTTTTATGCAAGTAAGATGGAACAAAAATATAATAACTAACCACTGAAAACTATCTACGCATTACGAGAAGAAAATACAAATGTTTTAAAAGCAATCGTCTTCCAGGTATAATATTTGGCAACGTTGTAACCATTTGTAATTATTTTGTTGGCTACCTAAGCGCGTAAATAATAATATTTGTTTTTTGAATGCCAATTTTCCTTTAGATTACTAATTAATCGGATAAATGAAGGTTTTTAGCATCTCTGGTTTTTAGGAAACTAAATACCTTTAACTATAAATTGGAGAACAGATCCCAATAAATTGTTCCCGTTACTTCTAATGCCGCATTTGAAAATCCACATCCGATGCATTTTTTACATCTCGAGCGTTTTTTTTATCCACATCGGACACATCTACTACATCTACATCTGCGTTTGTTTATCCCAGATGTACCTGTTCAGATTACATTTTTTACATCTCGAAATAAGATGTGAATGAGATATTCGTTCCATGCCAGAAAGTAAGTGTTCTGTGAAGCCAAGTTTGTTTACTTATGCCAGCATGAATATAAAAGTAATTAGTTTGTTTAATTTTAGTTTAGATTTCAAATTTAGGTTGATTTGTAGTCTCAGAAGTCAAATTTAAAAAGTATCAACTTCTAACTTCTCATTGACATTTTATCACGTGACCAATAAAGTCTAGAGCGTGTGTTTATTACATCTACATTTAGATCTTATATAAATTCACAACATCTCAGATGCATCCGATGTGGATTCTCAAACGCGGCATGAAAACCTATCAAATTTCCGCTGGTTAGAATAGAAAGATTCGTGTGAACCCTCTATCCGAACTGTTACTTTGACACGTTTAGCATGTCATAAACATCGTTTATTTTGAGAACCTTCTTACACCCGTTTTCAAAACTTTCATTAACAACTGAAACATACCATCCAAAATTGTAAGTACGCAAACTATGGCAGACAATTGGAATTAATAGTAGAGAAAATCAAATGGAAACAACCCAAAAATCTGAATCGTTAAGGAAAAAAATTAGAGTTAGAAAGGTAGTAGTACCCAATGTTTACGAATTTTTATATTTACTGAAACTTTTGCTTTACTATTTCTTTCCAAATTATTATTGATTTATTTTCCCCATTTAAGACAGCTAGCTTTTAAATCTACAATTAGTGCGTTTAAATATTTCTTCTTTCGCCTAATATGTGCATTTTCTTTCTCTTTCAACCCCTCTAGCCATTTGTATTTAAATTATTAGTAGCTTAACTGTATTTATTAGGTCAACGCTATGATTTCTTTTCTGTATCTTTTTAGTAAAACCTACATCCTCCTTTTTTTTCTTCTTTTATAAAGCAGTGAAAACCAATACAATATTGATCCTGTAATTGACGACCTGGAGCCCAATTCCTGAAACTGTGCGCTAAATGCCGCTTTCGGTTGTCGACGCATGATCGCCATCGCATGCGATAGAAAATTTGTATTCTTAACTACCTTTCGTTGGGGTAGTTTCGTGTCGCATGGTGTAGCGAACAGTTTTTGATTATTACAGCAGTTCAATCGTTTTCAACCAATAAAATTTCAGAACATTATAACAAAAACTGCAAAAATTTTGTTAAGTTTCTTGACTTTCTTCGTCGCGCTCTGATGAACTTCCTGTTTTAATATGGGATTCTGCAGATACAAACATGGCAAAGGTTTCAGGCAAAAATGTTTTTGCTTTCCTTTTTTTTTACATTTCGCATGATCTAAACTAAGCAGAAGGCGATTAAAAATGTCCTGATTACAACTTTCCCTGGAAAATATCCTCGCAAAATTTTGTCGGTAACTTCTGAAATGTTTATTGCGAGCCTCGGCTGCTTCCTCGGAAAGCTGTCCGAATGGTAACAATGTCTTTTCAATAATGACTGCACCATGTTCTAAAATCTTGTACATTGTTGGCATCATAGGATGCCAATCATATTATATTTTAGTTTAGTTACTTGTCGTGTAATAATATTAATTTAATTATTGTAACAGTTTTAGCAATAATATCCATGTAATAAGGCTAAAAGCCTGTTTGGGTTGTGAAATAAATAAATAAATAAATACAACTCATCATAAAGTTGAGCAGTTTCTAAAGCATTTCTTTTATAATTTACCGGATCAATTTCAAATCCGCTTGAAATTGCTTCCAATATGACTTTTAGTCTGTATATCAGTTCATAACTAATGCCAGTTATTTCTGCAGCTTATTTGGGATTCTCAAAGAACCTTCTGCTAGTATTTTCATCATTTGTGTTCCCGAAATTGGATTTAGGCATATCTATTAGTAAACCTGTTTCAGTGCGGAACCTTGTTTGTATCTCTCTTTTGGTTTGATCTTCTAGGCCTTTCTCCTCTTTCGATTTTCTTCCCCTATATTTTTTTTACTTTAAGATTATATGTTAAGTGTAGGATGCATTCAAATAATCGAATTCTAGCGTGTAACACAGATATGCCGAATTCAAGGGCTGTAAAATTCACTTCTCCTTTGTAATCCAATTTATTAAAATCTTTCAAGGTTGCCCCACATATGTATCACCTACTCCTAGACTGTTTGCCTGTAGCTGCATTGCAGACCTTTCCATCTACCGTGGTCATAACAAATTTGTGCTTGATTAACAACTTTTGCCCTCCTAGGTCGACCTCTGTTGGGACTAAAGAGGTAATAGTGCTTTTGGCGTGTGTTATTTCCTCTTCAGTTACATCATTAGTTTCCTTGATAAAACGGAATCTTTTATTGGTCGACAAAATCGCGGCGAAGAGGGCGTTGGATTATTCCATTAAATCTTTTTTATTTTTATCTCCATACACTAATTGAAGAGTCACAAAACAGCTTTGGAATATGCTTGAATCCGAATCAATGTCACTTTCTAGTTTTTGTTTGAACTGTGATTGTTGAGACCCATCGCAGCCCCCCACTTACTAATTACAGTTAGGCAATCACGCTCTTTCTCCTTTAAAGTTATTAATACCTCTTCTAGGTACTCCGATAAACGCCTAACTGTTACATCCATTAGAGGTTGTAACTGAGCTTCGGCACTGGTAATGGTAACAACGATTTTTGAGGTGGGTAACATTTCTTTTTGGCTTTTTGTAATGCACTATAGCAAGCACGGCAAAAAACAAACTTCTTATTGGTTTTTCTTATGATTTCGTACTGTCCTTGCGTCAAATCGGCATCTATAAACATTTGCAAAGCTTACATTGGTGTCAAGGAGTGCTCTTTACTTGATTTCGTAAGATAAGCCTTTTTGTATTTAGTTGCTCGTGTCGGAGAACTGGTGATATCTTCTAAGATATTTGATGCATCTTTTTTACCAGATTTTCGCAGCTCCACTTTCGCAGCATGTATTATGATCTCCTTTTCAAAATTAGAATGCAGTTTTTCAGTCTTTCGTCTTTTGCTTCTCTCACTTGCGTCTTCAAACGATTTGGATGGTCGACCTGGCCGTTTTTGTGAAGCCCCAACGACAGGTATTTCAAAAGTACCTTCCAGCCAAGATCGGTTGTATTTTATAAAATTATCTTCTTTATAATGAGCTTTGTTTAATTTCTGATTTAAAATGGGCAAAACCACGTTTCAAATTAATAAGTTGATCTTCATTATAACCTTCACATGACAAAAGTTGATTTTTTAGATAGTTTAATTTGGCACTTAAATTAGGCAAATTTTCTGTCTTCATGCGGTCATATAAGTAATGTCGGGTCATAAACTTTACTCCTGATGCACCCTCCAAACCTAAAACAAACATACACTATGTTAAAAGCCGCTAATAAACATTTCCAATTTTATACGAAATTTTGCTAAATATCTTCAATTAATGCCTCAAAGCTGTATTTATCCGGACGTTTCCGGAGATGTTTTTGTTTTCATTTATAAGGAAAAGGATCATATAATAACCTATAAGTATAGCTCGATCTACCCCGATACATAAACAAAAACACTAGAATAAGGAAATCACTGTATGAAAATGAGTATCTTTTGTTATAAAAAAATTATATTGTATAATGGATAATCATGATTTTATTAATGTAGTTTGGAAGTGTCTTACCTTGTTCATCACTTTCAATTCGTAAGTAGAACTCAATAACATAAAAATTCACTTTAGAAGTTTAACGTTTAGAAAAGCACCGAGAACAGATACGTATACTAGGTAAAACGGCCAAATTCTGAATGACGCTAGGGTTGGGGGGTGCGAGATAGCAGGTAGATGGGCATGGGTATCGTTCCCGGATTCGTCCTCTGTTCGTGGAACTCGTTATTATGAATGTTATTGTTATTGGGACTTTTGGCCGCGTAGATCGTGCAAATATATGTATGTGCGCCGTCAGGAATAAGGCCCCTGTACCATTACCTTCAGTTGTCAGAAACGCAGACATTTTTAATTACAATTTAAAATCCGCATTTTTAATCTTGAACTTATAATTTCCCAGAGCTAACAGAGATATAATAATTCATTGATAAAATATAATATTCACGATGCCAACATTAATTCGACAATCGATACACTCCATTTATAGACGCAAGGCGAGGCGACAAAAGGTGAGAAGTAAGAGAAGTAATAAAGAGAAGAATTTTATGCAGACACAACTTATTTTCATGGATGAATAAATGTGTAAGACGCTGTGCGCTTATAATAAACAACGTATAGTAAATATCCATGCCGGTGTAAGCTCTGTTGCCACTTCCAACCTAACATGAGTAGGTTTTGGAATGTATTGAAAATTATTACATCTAATTTAATGAAATTACACATAATTTAGTTAAATTTAATATAAACTAATGATTCAACATTTTTTGGGTTTAGTTTCAATAAAATGGGTTGAATTATTTTAGCTTTTTTTAATATATGTAAATAATTTTGTAAACAAAACAAGAATAATGAAATAGGCATATGACAACAGCGGATATTATACCCACCTGTGTCCCTTAGAATATGTCTTATTCAGGACCGCACGATATTTGTTAATAGTTACATCTCGTTACCTCTGTAATTTCCATTATGATGAAACATTAGATTCAAATTAAGTAGTCCAAAATTATTCCAGGGCACTCTGGTTCGATCTCACAGCGAACTGTATCATTTTTTATTTTGGTGGTTTATTGTAGGAATGATACTTCTTAATTTATTAAACAAATAATAATAATAATATACTTTATTGTCAGAGAGAATACATGATTCCATGGACAAAGTTTAATACTAATGGTATAATAAACAAATAGATATCAACGTTCACGTTATTAAAAAATATTAAAATTGATTACAATAATAAAAAAAAAAAAATATATATATATATATAAACAAATCCACAGAAAAAAAATGCCTAATTTTAAAATTCGTCATTATAAAACTCCACAGATTGTAATATGGTTTTCCTATTAATATATTTTTTATAGTATTCCTAAATAATGATGGATATCTTAATTGATTTTAAGGCATCCGGTAGATGATTAAATATTTTAGGACTTTCATAGATTATTGAATTCTTAATTAGAGAGGAATGTGGAATCGGAAGTAATAAGTTATTATTTTGTCTAGTGTTGTAATGTCCTCGACTGGGTAGGTAGATTTAAAATTTGTTTGTGTATCATACAGTCTCTAGAATAAATAAACTAGTTAAAGTCAATATTTTATACTTGATAAATAAAGGTTTGCAATGATCTCGGTAATCAGATTTGGCTAGGAATCTTATAGCTCTTTTTGTAAAATAAATACCGAGTTAAGGAGATATTGTGAGCAGTTTCCCCAGAATACAATACCATACCTTAAATGAGTGTCTATTAGTGAAAAGTACACATTTCTTGTTGACAAACTTCCCAGCTCTTTAGCAATAACCCTAACTGCAAAGCACCCGGATGCCAGTTTTTTGTTTAAGATTGCAACATGTTCATCAAACTTTAGTTGGTTATCGATGTAAAGGCCTAAAAATCTGGAGCAGGGTGTATTTATAATCAACTGTTCGCCAAGACGAAGTTGATCATATGCAAATTTAAAAGTTAATATGTTTGTTTTGTTTGTGTTAAGACTTAAAAAATTGGAGTCACACCAGTTTTTGATTACGTGTAGGTCATGTGACACAGTATGTTTTAGAGTATCCGTATCCCTTCCATGCCAGAGGAGAGTTGTATCATCAGCGAACAACGTAAATTTTCCGGAGATGCTAAGTCTTAGTTAAATCGTTAATATAGATTAAGAAAAGAATTGGTCCCAAAACTGATCCCTGTGGAACGCCGTGTTTAATTTCCGAAAATTTTGAAAATTTATCAGATACCCTTATTATTTGTATTCTGTCGGATAAATTAGCTTCGAAACCAGTGCCATGTTGCATTTCCGTAAACCATAAATGAATAGTTTTTTTAAAAGTATATCATGTCTGACGCGAATCAAAAGCCTTTGAAAAAATCACAAAAGACTGATGCTAACATTTCACCCTGATTTAAGTTAGAGTATGCGTATTCTAAAAAGAGAACATAGCATCTTGTGTGTTCTTCGAAGCTTGAAAGCCAAATTGACATGTAGCTAAAATTTGGTGTTTCGTTAGGAAATCGACCATCCTACTTTTAACGAGCCCTTCAATTATTTTAGATAAAGTAGGAAGTAATGAAATTGGTCTGAAATTCGAAGGAATCTTCCAAGCTGCCCCCTTTATGTTGTGGTACAACAATTGCAGTTTTCAAACATGCCGGAAAAGTTCCATTAATAAACGATAGGTTAATTGCGGTCCGACTAACGCATACAGAGTACTATCTGGAAGATTACTAAAAGATTTTTATAGAGATTCCGTCATATCCTGCAGCATTTTTGTTTTTATCGCTGCTATGTTTTCTTTTAACTCCATTATATTAAGTGGAGTAAAGGTGACAAGCATCTGTTATATTCACGTCTTCGATATATTTTAAAGGATCATGTTTAACAGTGAGCTTAGAGGTGAGCTCATTCAGCAATTGTCGAAAAAAAAACTCGTTAAACTGATCAGGACTTACATTGTAGGAGGCTTTAAAAAGAATTTGTCTTTCCTCGAAGCTCGTTTATAATTGCCCAATTCTCTTTTACGCTATTACTGGAGTTTTGTATCCTGCTGTTGTAATATCTATCTTTGGCCAACCTCAATGTTTTTTTGTAGATCTTTTTATATTTATTTACATAGGAAATGAAACCCTCATTTGTTGTATATTTGCGGATGACCAGTAGTGATCTCATATTCCTGGCCGAAGTTTTTGATTCCAGTTGTTATCCATGGCTTTTTCTTTTTATCTTTAATTTTTATTTTTTTTTTTTTCAATTCAATTCAAATTACTCTACACAGAGGAAAACCAAAGTATATTGCTATAAATATATAAATTATTAATTGCCACAGCTGCATTTATTGAAATAGTTTACTTATTGACTTCAAACGACAATATCCAATTTAAAAAGATCTGTATTATCTAGATTAATATTGTATAAGGAGATCAATCAACGACAACAAACTACTAGAATAATCCATTCATTCATAATTAAGTCCATATTTATTGCAAGTATTCAGATTGTGTTTAATTGTTGCATCGGCTGCCGCATTAAAAAGAGCGAGACAGCTCCTTAATTAAGTGGGGATGGTTTGTGCGAGCTTATTTATCAGAGGTGCAAGTATGTGTTTTATGAATGAACCAGCTCATACAGCTATGATTCCTGCTGACGGTGCAACTGTAAAATAAATGGTATACTTTGCTGTAAATCGCCTTTTTGCTACAATAATGGTTGCAATCAGAAAAGACATTAAACAGATAATAATTGGCAATAAGAATGCATATATACTTCCTTAATGTAATTTTTAAAGCCTTTTTGCTTTTTAGAGCCTAATGTAAAGCCAATTCCGAATTATAACCATAAACAATCCTTGTAACAAGACTCTCCCATAATAATTTAGCAACTACGTGGATCAGGCCGCTGAGAGCCAGGTCGGGCCCCGGGACAATTCTCCAGGTCGGGACAATTTTATAAAAAATTAGGCCCTTTTTCTAAAAAATAAGGTCTACCAGCAAAACCTTCTCCTCCTCTTCACTGAATATCTCTAAAAAAAATGGAAAAAAGGTCTT